TTCTCCTATTCAGCCAGGCCAGCAGTTCCCTTTAACTACCCCCTTTCAGGGACATAGACGGGTATGGGGCATTGCAGGCAAACAAAGAAGCCAAATGAAAGGGGTGGACCTGTTCTTTAATTTCAATTTGCATGTTCTCTAAGCAAAAACAAGGCTTTGCTGGGCTACTGTATAAAGCTTCGAACTCAACGCTATTTGTGACATTTTGAATTGAAAAATCCTTTTGGATGGGAAGCAAAATGTCTTAAAACTTAGAAACAAAGTACAGTGGATTGTTATTTTTGTTGTTGTTTTTTTTTTTTTTACTTTTTTGGGATTATACTATTGTGTTTTGTTTGTTAGGATTCTCATCTGGTGGCCCAAGCCCAACCGAAACATGTTTAAGGGATTATATTACATTTATATTATATTCAGTTAGCTGTTAAACATGTTGAAATTGCAAAATTTGTCTGTATCTATCAAATGGATGAACAATACTCAATATGTGCAGAGACTAATTGGTAGTCTTTAAAATGAAAAAATGTACACCAAGCTGCACCAAAAAGTCAATGCTGCATCAATAAAAGAATAAGGTGGAAAACGTTGCTAATTTGACCCTGAAGCTTTTTTGCACTATGTTGGTTTTAGACTGTAGGTCAGATGGAGCTAGCTGATGACTATTGCCAAACTACGTCTGCGTTCTCCAGTATTAGCAAGTATCAGCTAATATCATAAAGCAATTTATCTCTCTATCCCCTATAATTTTACATTTAATTCTCCTTGGGTTGATATAAATTATTCTATCCTATTTAAAGCTAAATGTTGAAGCTGTTACTGGCTATAATCCTAAATGTCCTCTCTGCTTTACCGCCTTCTCTCTCATGCTGCTGAGGCCACTCTCTGTCAACTCGTTTATCATTTTCATGGTACAGACAGGTTTTCATAAACAAAACAGCCTCTTAATGTAAACCAAAAAGGATATTCAGTGCAGAAGACAAGAAACAGAGGGAGTAGAAGTGCTGCAACAGAGAGAGCGTAATCTCTTTATACTACAAAAGTACCTGCTCTAGAGCGTGTTGCTTTCCTTCTTAGATGGGTTGCCATTTCTGCTTGCGACATCTTTCGCTTAAATCAGATTAAGAAGTCATGGTGGTGAATGAAGAGTACTTCTTTAGTTAGAATTTGTGAATTAATTAAGCCCATTAAAGCCCAGAGACACTTATGCACAACACACTGAGAGCTAATATAGTTAATGGATGAATAAAAGGAACACACACACACCCAAAACATGCATTCACTATATAATGTGTCACGTCTTGTGGAGGTCATAAACATGGTTTTCTCTTTCCCCCTTCCCTTTAGTCAATGCGCAAGTATCAGGAGCTGTGGTTCCACATTTAATGCATCCAATTACTTAGGCCCCCCATTCCTCTAGCTGCTGCATTACGTCAGGCTTGGCAGGCTATATATTTTTAGCGGTTCGACTCCAGTGGCCTTCTCTCACTCTGTGTGGATTGAGTTACTGTGTTATTGGTGAAGGTGACCAATAGAGACCTGCCCAAGCTGCTTTTGTCCAATCCAAACACATCAAACCACTACATAACGACACTAGTAAGGATAAGGGAGAAGGCAGTGCTCATTGAGGGTTCAGCAGCAGGCAGTAATAAAGAAACAGAGAAGCAGTCTCTATTGGGAGTTTGATGTCTAAGATTGGCCAAGTCGATGCATTCAGGAATGCATGATGACTCTTAAGTGCATTTCTATAGGATGTGTGTGGCGCAAACCTTGGTGCCAAATGGTTGGCTGCTTCCAGACACCAGAAATTACACGGTTGTCTGAGGGGGAAAAACCGAGCAGACTTGTGGAAATACATGGAGGATAATTTTCATTTTTTTTCTCTCCATACTTCCTAACTAGTTTTGTATTTTGACGCATCCAACAAACTTTTTGGGGGTGGAAGTTATGTTGATGATACCAATGAAGTCGTGTTCTGCACAGCTGAGGTGTCAGAATAAAGTGGTGACAGTCTGACCCCATGCTGATAGAGCAACTAGCCCTGGGAGTCAGAAAGTGAGGAATGTTTTCACTCTGCTTCACAGTATTTGTCTGTTGGACTAAACCTTATAAAACCCAGCAGCTTAACAAACAGCTAAGAAACCAACACCCCCTGCCTTCAAGGGACTTCTCTAAGCTTGAAGATGCTCATTGTTCCCTCCTCTACTCATGCTCCCCATTTTAACCATAATCACTTCCTCTGCTCATTTTGCCTTGCCCACAACAAAGCAGTTTTCCTTCCTTGTTCTAAACAGACTTTCTGCTGTTTCTCTCAGACACCCACTAATCCCATTGATTCAACTCTCAGACGAGATCAGGAGGCGGGTTGGTAATGCATATATTTGCCACCATGTAAAGTAAAGGTCAGGGAAAACAACAGCAGCATTTAGAAATGACAAGCCCACTTAAAGTTTCAGATGTCATTGCAACAAGCTGTTTAACTGACGTGTGGATGGGGATCAGGAGCAAGTAATGTCCGACTTTGTGTTTATATGTCTGGGTTTGTTTTATATAATTATAAAGGAGAAGTGTTTAAGGTGTTTCTGCGTTGTTGTAGCTTATGCTGGTGAGGTTTTTGGAGGTGAGCTATAACAAAGCCACACCTGACATTGTTGGGCTGGACAGAGTAATTGACAAAAAATGGAGAACTATGAATTTAATCCATCACTCACACGTCCGGCTCACACTGACTACGATGTGGCTATGGTTCTGGTGTTCAGCGAAAAGCTGCTCACACTCAGCTTCACCAGCCAAGAATCCTGTTGCAGAATCACCACTGAAGAGAAATGTTAACATTGGTTCATGCCCTTTCCTGGAGTTCTAGGGCTAAACTTGTTTTCCATTTGCATTATGATCCTTTTTCAACCTCCAATAGCCACTCTGTTTTTTTCAAGTTTCTTCTTCGCCGTTTTGTTTACACAAGCCAAGTCAGCGGCCGGCAAAAATCAAGATCTTGCAGAATTTTCTACAATGCTGCTCAGCCTCAAACCCACAGCTGCGCCGTACTGCGTTTGCCCAGTATTGGACAGTACCCAGGGCTACTGGCCTTTTGGGGATATAGAGTGGCAGTCTATGGGGTTTGAACCTGGTACTTTCTGCTCTTATTACTAGGTCATCAAAGTCCTGAGTGGGGCATTACTGTTTGTATATTTGTGATCTTATTACAGCTTAAAAATCATTTTGAGTATCCTTTAATGTAGTTTTAGCATGCTGTTTTTCTAATTTTGGAACACTGCCTGCAACCACATAAAAAAAAAAAAAAAAACTATCACTACAGACCCTGCTATGGTGGCTAAATATGTCTAAAAGGGTGTTTTTAATTTGTATTCATACCAGAATTCAACGGCCCTGAAGTCTGTTTGGGAACAGACTGAAAATACCCTCTAAAAGATGATTCCAGTCAAGTTTGTTCCTGATGTTGTTACTTTGTTTTTACCTGTACCAAAGGTCCAGACCAAGGAAGAAAACCTTTAAATGCCTCACATTACATAATGGCTTTTTGTCATAACGTCTGAAGACCATCTTTGGCATACTGTAGCTGTTAAAAATATATGTTTAAAGTATTTAAAGAAATTACTCATATTGCAAACATTTATTTAGGCTGAAAATAATTGTTTAAAAAAATCCATACTGTCACCATTGGTTCTCTGTTAGTACTGTACAGCTCTGAGGAATGAGATGGCCAGAGAAAAATGTCTTTAGCATATCTATAAAACATTTCTGTTTATCTGGACGTCAGTTGGCATTTATCCTGTTAAAAGATTTGAACTTATTCTTAGATTACTGTTTGAAGACAACTAACATTTAAGAGCTGCTGATAGTTCTAAGTTATGGTGATATACAATATAAGGTTCACAGGGCCTTTAGAGGAGCAACAGACCAACAGCAGGACACATTCTCCACCGCACCAATGGACAAGAAATAATCCTTTGTTTCCAGCTAGAAACATCCATAGTGTTTGTTGCAAAAACTCTGATCTCAGTCTCACCTGATCAAACGAGTGATTACGATTTCATAAAGCGCATTTCCATTGTTATAGTAAAAGGAAAACTTTCTGTAGTATAACTAGTTGGTATTTAGGCTCAGGGACCCCAAATTACCTCTGTGCTGTTGTTTTCCAACAGTGAGCTTTTGAGTTTAAGGCCTGTGCTCATCCAGTTTAGTTGGAGGAATATATGGAGCTGTCTTCATATGTATACAATAAGAAGGTGATAATGTCATTAAAGTCCTGACCTCTCAAAAGTAACTATGAATTCAAAAGTTTAAGTGTAGGACTATGTTATTTATTAATTTTCATTCAAAAAGTAGGAGCTATATTTGTGAATATTTCCAAAACAAAGGTGAAATTTGTATTTATTTAATAAAAATGGTAGATTACTTTTTATTTGCACTTTGCTTTGTAATGAATGTGGAATTCCAGCAGAACCTCAGCTTATGGCCGCACTGCCTAAATAGAAACCAGGTGAGCCTGAAAACAGATGCTGCGCGTTCCCTTCAAATCCCTGCGGCTTTCACCTCCACCTTGAAGTCAGACACGTAGACTAAGAGAGACTAAGAGAGCGCAGGCCTGTTGCCTTTTTGCTGAGCTCCTACTGAGCAAAATCCTAGAAGCTACGTGGGGTTCGGGTGCCTTGCGTTTGTTTTAAAAGGGATCACCTTGTGACTTTGGAATAAAAGGGGTGAGAACCTGATATTCCCACAGTGTCACTCAAACAGCAATGGCTTTCACACGGTCCGTTCCCCCTTCACACTGTGACTTTGCCGCCCCCTTTACAAGCTATTTCAGCAACCCCCTGGCAATGTTCTTTCCAAATAGGATCTTTTTACTGGAAGGAACATATTTTAGGTACCGGTAACTAAGGAGCAAATGTTCACATTTTCTCCTCTTTTTATCCTTTATTTTAGTTGTGATTAGCATTTTTTTTTGCTGTGAATTTTCTAAATCTTTTCCCCTCTTTGCTTCCTAGATGTGAAGAAGGACTGGTCGGACCACGCCTTGTGGTGGGAAAAGAAGAAGACATGGCTGCTAAAAACCCACTGGACGTTGGACAAGTACGGCATCCAGGCCGACGCCAGGTTGCTCTTCACACCACAGCACAAACTGCTGCGCCTCCAGCTGCCCAACATGAAGCACATGAAGGTCAAGGTGAACTTCTCCGACCGGGTCTTCAAGGCGGTGTCGGACATCTGCAAGACTTTCAGTGAGTGGAGCAGTTTTAAGACTTTAGATTGTTGGGATATGGGGATATAGTAAATGCACACCCTTCTGAACTCAGTACTTCCTTTGGTGGTATTTTCGGAAATATTCTACATTTAGCTTTGAAAATCACGCCCTTCCTCTTGCTCTGTTTTTTATTTAATCATTCCTTATGTTTATCAAACACTCTCAGCTCTGCACGCCACTCTGTGATGTCATGTCCTTGAACCCAGGGCTGCATCTACCTCAGATTAATGTTTACTATACAAGGATTATCAATCTGTGTTTTGCACCAATCTCATTCATGTTTTCTGGCTTTAGATTCTGTTCAGATAGTGCTTTGATCTATTTATACTAATCTTCTCAAACATTTTGACAGCTTGTTGATTTACAAACCAAAATATAGAGTTTTTATGATGTTTAAATTAAAGGGGATTTTAGAAACCTGGTGTTTTAGTCACAGGCTTTAAATACGTTTTTTAGCTTCAAGGGCCTATTGTTTTTAGCTGACTTGGTTCGTGTCAGGATGTTGTTTGCTGACTCAAAATGATTCTTTTAGCATCACTTTTTTATTGCTCATTAGTAAGAGACAATTTTGTGCTTTAGTTTTTATGATGGCTGGCTAGGCTTAATTTACAGCAGCTGATCTGGAGGGTCTTTTTTTTTTGTTTAAGAGGGAACTCCTAGCTTGACAGTTTCCTGAAATAATATGTGCTGAGCTGCGAAGCATTGAACATCAGGAGGAACAGGAAGAGACAAGGTCTGCACAACCTGTCTTTGTCCCAGAAAGCAGAGAGGGAGGGACCCGGTTGTTTAGAGAGATCAGCGATGTGGTTTTCTAGTGAACCGGTTCATCAGTTGTTGCAGCACTAACACTGATTTGTGTCCTTGATTTATTTGTTTGTCATTTTAATAAATCTGCTCCGATGTAAGAAGCTTTCATCTTTTCCAAACTCCTGTTTTTAGCCGTCAACATATGTTTCTCATATCCTATAAAGCTTAGGTAAAGTCTGTGAAAGAAATCAGGCGCTTTATCTTTGTTATGCAATGATTTAGTAATAGATCTATTTTGATTTAGAAGCAGAGTGTAAAACAACAAATCAAGTTTGTTTAAAAACAAGAATGTCCGTAAGAACATTTTATTTGGCCAATTTTGATACAGACATGGCCCATCTGGGCTGACTGCTTGAAAAAAAATGTAGGAAAAGGTTGATACACTGTAATACGCTGAGACGAAAATAACTGGAAACCACCCCTATGTTTGACCTCTAGTGCTATTTGGCAGCTCTCACATCCTGCTCCTCACTGCTAAGTTGGCGATTAAAGGATGCTTTAAGCTCTAAGATGTTTTCTGTTTTTGTATTAGTCAACAGTAATATAGAATTCCATGAATTCGGCTTTGCCTTCATGGGAATTGCACCAAAAAAAAGTATTGCTCACCAATTTCCTGCTTAGCTGTTTCTAAAAAAAGAAAGCCTTTTGTGTTAATGATTATTTCCAAACAATTTCAGTTTCGTTTCAAACCGCTGAAGTCAGCTGCTTGTTTGCCTTCAACCACTCTCTGGATTTATTTTTATCCATCGACTTTCCAGCATCTCACCAGCCCTTGGCTGTAGACTCTGTGGTATAGAAATGAAGCTCCTTCAGCTGAGCTCCACTTAAAGGAAGCGAGGGTCAGGTTTCTTCTCTTAATTTTGTCCTTGTAGTCATTCATTACAGTAAGCAGAGACGCAGCAATATTTTTATGACCCTTTTACAGTAGATTACATTGAGTTGTCAACCAGAAAAAGCAGCCCTGCTCCCTCAGTGTAGGCTGACCTCCTGCCTAAAGCTCAGGTATCGTTGTGTCTTGTTCATAGGTGATTTAAGGATGGATTAATCTGAATGGGTCTATACCAAACCGTACCTTTGATCATGAGATATCCATTATGATCTAAAGATTGAAAAACATGGGGATAAACCATGTGGATAAGCAGCTGATTATTTGTATTAAAAGGCGAGAGCTAACATGATATGAGATCTGATCACAATGCCTTCTGGATGGCTTATCAAATTCAGGAGCTTTTCTGTATCAGGATCAGGACTGTGTTGGGGGGTGTTCCTATTATTAAAGGAGTTTTATGGCATCACAAGCTGTGGGCCGTTTAACCAAGCTCCAGTTTACTGGCCAGTGATGTAACATAAAACAACTGTGGTTAGACTTGACTCTGAATTTTGAATTAAAAGGGGTCCTTATTTAATATACTTTGTGTTTTCTGATGGATAAATAATTTTTCTTTTTGTTCGTACACTTTATTCAGAAGTGTACAAAATCAAGGAAACAAATGACATCATGTCGTATAACTTTCTTTTTTCTCCTCTCGGATATCCATGTAGGGCTTCCATCTGTTCCTATTGCAAATTTTGGGGTTTTAAAATTAGACTGTGACTATGTTTGTGATTCTTTGTGGTGGGTATTACTCACTGCATTAAATCATCTGTTCCAAAGAGCAGATCTTTTTGACTCCCACATAGCTTCGCTCCTCTGACCTTAGGCCTGGTTTCTGTCAGAAGATACTGTAGGGGTCTCATTGTTCCGGCTTCATTTCTGCTGTTAGAAGACTGCTAAGCCTTTGTAAGAAATCTAATCAGTTGTATCTCCTTATAAGACCCTCCCAAAGTGTCTCCTGAGTGGAGATAGCAGACTCCCCAACATTGGGGTCAGCCTTAAATTACCACAACTTTGTCAGGAAAATCCACTTGCATGTTTTCTGATTTTAAAAATATTAGTAGTGATTTATCCTCCAAAGCTAATTTAGCTATCCCAGCACTGCATTTTGTATGTCACTTTAACTTAAGTAAAAGAATATTGTAATTTTTACCAGTTCCTGCTAAAGTTTATGGTAATACTTGTTTTATAACATTAGGATTTAGAAAATGTGACACATAAACTACGTTATGTTTAACCATCTGATTAGATGATGGAGTTTCTATGTGCACCTTTTTAATTGAAATGACTTGAGTTGAGTTTGCATGGTCTTAAAGGGAGAATTCAATTGTATCATAAAAAAAGAAACTAAAACAAATAAGGAATAAATTTTAATTTAGAGAACCATTTCGCAACACAAAAGGCCCCCTGTCTTTTTCCCGTGGTGGATCCGAACACGAGCTTTATGCATCTCGAATGTTTGCTTGGAAATGATTCAAAGGGTCCTTTTTCTGTGGTGGAGCAGATGATAAACTGTTGGAAAGTATGTCTGTCAGATTTATTACTGAGATTTATGAGGAATCACTAAAGCTCTGCATCCCTGTAGAATAAGATGCTTATAGGTTAAAAACATAAGATCTGATGTACTGTGGAAAAGAAAAAAAAAAGTGAATAAAAAAAATATTATTTTAATATGCAACTCTATATATAGTTACTACCGACTAAAATGATCTTTGGATTTTGTGGAGACCTGATGCCACGAGCGCTCATTATGTATATTAGAAACACAGGAAACGCCACACATGGGAGAGCAGTTTCTGTAAGATTGCCTTCAAATCCGACCACAAGCATGTTTTTGGTTTACAAGTCATTATCTTATTAGAATTTTTTTTTTCATTACACAATTTAGAAAGTTCCATCAGAGGAAGAGATTTTATGCTTTCACTAAATAATAAAGAGAAAAACACACAAGCAATGTTAATGCAATACATTCAACCTTTCTGTTATCTGCACTGAATTCGCTTTAAGCAACAATGTGTACATTTTGACCAATTAGCTTAATTTGAGATGTATTAAATGATTTCTAATGTCACTATTAAACACCTGGCACGTATGGTGTAAAGCCCTGAATGGAATGGAAAATGAGAGCAGTTGAAAATGTCCAAAAAAATCAAACGGCCTTCAAGTCTATCTGCCTTTTTGGATTGTCCATAATGAACCAACATGCCACAATACAAATATTTTTTAATATTCTTATAGCTTTCATGCTTTTTCTAACATATGTGAAACACCAACCTGACAACGAAAATAGCTAAATTTAGCTCCAAACTAATAGCACTTTGGTGTGTTCACTGATGATAACTCCTCCAATATAACATTTAAGAAATTGTGGTTTAAAACAGGAAAAAATAAAAATCTTTTTTTTTTTTGTTTTTTTTTTTTTGGCTCAACAGATGAAATGCACTTTTAACCTTGTGATCATCTCTCCCTGCTCATATTGTTCACTTCATGGCAACTAATAATTAGCTCTGAAAATACAGATTGACTGTCCCCAATTAATTCTCAGAAATAATCCTGTTAAGATTTTATTTCTCTCTCTCAAGTATACCGATGGGCTCTAGTCTTGACATATGGGCTCCCAACTTTTTTTTTTTTGTTTGCTTAATAAAAGGTTGATATATTTTAAAGTGCTGATCTTTATAAAAAATAAAAACTGATCCCGGCCCTAATTCTTTTAATAACTGAATACAGCAAACATTGACATCAGCTCAGTTAAAACAAAGTGAATCAATTCACACATCCTATAATGTCACAGTACAGCTTCCTGTCGATCTGCGTTCACCTGTTGTCTGAAGGCTGCACTCGACGTTTCTAGCCTGACTTTAACTTTAATCTGCAATGTCAGCTGTTGCTTTAAGAACAACATGCTTTCTAGAATTAAAGGGGGACTTTTGGTCATGCCATCATGGGTTTTCATTTTGTAACCAATGTGTTGGGGCTCTTTCTGCATAAAAAGTCAGTCAGTAACAACCACTGTAAGCACACTGCAGCTTTAATCAAACCAGAAATGTGTTTACCATTATTGAATAAAATGACATCTTGTTATATATTGATATTGAATTATTCTCCAGCCCTATGTTCAACCACCATGTTGCCCTTTGGAAATCGTTCATTTCTAGTCTACAATACTTGTCTCTATTCAAAAGTAACTCCCTACTTTAATAAATTGTATGAATTTGAATTTGTAAGTTTTGAATTTGTATGTTTTGAGCTGATTTATATAAAACATGTTTTATTTGATCATGACTGGTGGATATAGGATTCTGTTTATAGGATTCTGTTTTTGACTCTGCTTGCCAAACACGTGTGTAAAATAATCCATGTTAAACCAAGTCAACGTTTTAGGTTTCATCAGATATGTAATCTCTAACCTGGTAGCTTGCGTGAGTCAGAAAATGTTCCAGCTTGTGCGCTGGGACTAAATGATTAAAATGACGGTGTAGTAAAATGCCACACGCCTCTGCTATGCCTCAGCTAGACATACGTCCTGTCCAAGTATTCGGTGTGTGTTTGTGTGTTGGCCCTCCTTGCATAGTTCAATCGGGTTAAAGCTCAGCAGCAGGCTTGGAGCTCGCATGGCTGTATAAGGGCAGAGGGACTGTGCTCCAGTGCTGCAACAGAACGGGAATGAGGGGAGGAGGGAGATGACGAGAGAGGACAAACTCCCATCTGGTAGTTCTTAAAACTCATGGAATGCTTTTGCTTTAGTTACACAAGCCAAACAGCTTCTCCCCGAGCCTCCTATCTGCGCTCTCCCCAACACCTCGAGCAACCTCCTCAATCGGCCCGCCACAGTTAAATCTGTCATCGGTAGAGATTTCAGAATGATTTGATTTAACGTCTGTGGGAAGGAGAAAATTACCAGCTGTTTGTGAGGAGAAATTAAAATAAATAAAAGTGTCTTTCAAATATTGGCGTTCTCTTTGATTTATAAGGAATGTGTGAGGAAAAACCAAACGCAGCAGAGTCCAGATGTGCTGCTTCTGCATTATGTTTTAATTCTGACACTTTCTGGATCCTCCTTCATCAGAACCGTCCTATCGAGGTTACTGCTGAAGGATGGCCCATCTGGCCCAAGAAGGGGGAAGCCAGGGACTAGGCCACTGCTTTGGTCTACATACTACGTGATGACGGCCTGTTGCACTTTTAGAGATGCTTTCAATTGAAAGGAATAAGGTTTCATAAAGGATGTCACTTCTTCAATCTACCAACAGCAACTGAATTCAGCTTTGATGTGTGTAAGGTGAGGAGGAGTGAGACTGTGGCTCCAATGGCTCAGTTGAAGATTACACTAAAGCGAGATATTCGGGGGCGCTGAGAGAAAGGATTTTCAATTTTCCACCCCATGTGTGTACAGCTGTTTGCAGTTCTCCCCTTCTACCTCCTCTTATTCTGCCTTCTTTCCATCTTTGACACTTTATGTTGACTTTGCACCCCTGTTTTTCTGTCTTCTGTGGTTTCTTTTATTGTTTCAGGTCACTGGGAGAAACCAGTGGTTAATTTAATGCCTATAGGTGAGAAAGGACTAAAAACCTGCTTCCAGTAACTGGTCAACACAAACGGCAGTTAAAGATTTTATCAAATATTTCAAGCTTTAGTGTTGCACTAAAATACACAACAGCTTTTAAGAGCAGAGGGAATCATCCAGCTCGGTTTGAATGCGTATGATAAAAATATTCCAGCATTTCTTCACCAGGTTTCCTCCACAAAACTTACATTTTAATGGCTAATCTTATTATTTGGTTATTGAACTAATTATCTGTTTGTTAATTGAATAATAAACTGGAGTATACAGACTCAAAAACATGCCATTTACTAGAAGAATACCCCGCTCATCGCAGTAATTAAGCCAGAACTATAAAAAATATAAATTGTTTGGATTTCTGTGTAAAACCTTCTTTGTCTGTATATATACACACAGTTTAGAACTCCTCTGTTGGAACAGTTCTGGCATCACCCGGTAAAATTCTTTAGGTTTCCGATCGGCAGATAATCATAAATTGGTCAACAGACTAATCAATTGGCCGCAATAATCATGTGTACGCATTTAGATACATGAGAGGGACGATAAAGAGTTATAAAATATCTTTTAACTGTTTTTGCCTTTTACAATTTATCTTGAATGAGTATTAAATGTTCTTTTGTGTTTTTTTTTAAAGTTTGAAAACACTTCTGATAAACTTTAATTTACTACAAGTATATAATAATTAATAATTGATAGCTCCAGCCCTTAATGTGATCTATTGGCTCCTTATTACAGACAGGATGTAAAAGTATCAGGTTAAACGATATGAAGGGGTGCAGAAGTTGAAACCTAAACTGGACCATGATTGTTTATTTAGATTTTAAAGTGAAAAAGAAATGGACAAATAAAAAATGTGTAAATTATAGTAATTGGTATGCATGTTTCTAAAAGAATAGCTTTCATGTGGACACAGTAGTTGATGGACTCTCTCAGTTGTCTGTTAAGATGCAGAGTTCAGGCTGGCCTGATTAGGCAGCCTGACTCACTAAACAGCAGATGGGATTAAATTAATTTTAAATTTTTAGTCTATGTTGTCATACTGTCAAAATCTCACAGCAGCCAGGTCAGGTTAATGTTGGCTTATCTTCCTGGGAGACAAGAGTTCTTGGGCTCTTTTGTGTTTATATGGCTCAAATAACCTATTCTTTCCATTCATACATCTCCACTCTCAGATATCCGCCACCCAGAGGAGCTGTCTCTACTGCGCAAACCTCGTGATCCCAAGAAGAAAAAGAAAAAGTTGGAGGAGGCAGAAGAGGACGACCTGGAGCTGGAGGGTCCCCTGTTGACTACTGGAACAGGTGAGCTGCAGATGATAAGATTTCTCTCTACTTTAAAGTAATCTTAGTTTTAAAAGTATTTACATTGTTGTCAAAAGTTATACCAACACCAGCAGGTGGAGCAGCAGGTTCTGCTGGTCCACATGGAGGATCTTCTATCCGTTTGGTTTGTGTTTGTTTACACCTGTGGTCGGGAAACCGCCAAGATAACTCCAGCCTGCTGTTTCTAGTGACCAAATGGGAATGTGTGAGCTGGAGGCCTGCATGGGATTGACAGCCATGGCTCCCAATTCTTCAGCAGGGAGGACTAAGAATGGTTTAGATTCCACACATAGCTGGTCACGCTGCCATTTTAAGCCCAAACCCGGGAAGACGAGTGCATTTATTATGGCCCTCCTCCTCCTCGGCACTGAGTGATGGAGAGTTGCAACCAAATGAGAGAAAGGAGGGCCAGAACAAAACCAACTGGGCCGCTTTCTCTGATTTATGAGACAGACTAAATGGGACTCTTATATGATGATTCCACTTTGCTTGTGCTTCTTTTGTTCTGTTTGCCTTTTATTCTTGTAGAGAAAAAAACTTTAATGCATTTCAAATTAAAAATAAAAAAGCACCCACTTCAAAAAAAACTAAAGAGGATCACACCCACAGTTTCATCATTACATAACATGGGTGTGTAACTTTCAACACACATTTATTTCCCAGTGGGTATGGTGATCACACTATGAAGCAAACAGTCATTTTAACAAACACGTGCAAAAAACAAAAAGCACCTCCCTGTCATTTGTTTCCTCATTTGTTCCGGTGCATGTGTGCATCCTTTTAGATTGCAAGCAGTATTATAAGGGGTAATCTGTGCTCTAATGCTAGGATGTTCTTATCTTAGTGGAGTAGAGTTTGGCCTATTAGCTCGGGACTCCTGATAAAAATCTAAGGGCTTTGCAGAAAGGCAGAGATGCGATCAGGATGCTGCCGCTTCCTTTCCACACCCCTCTATCAGTGTGACTCGTCACATGCATCGGGGCTGTTCATTAGTCACTAAACACAAAATGGTTTGTTTTTTTGTTTTTTGTTTTCAAAGCAAAAGTTTAATTGAAATGAGAGTTGGCATGCTAGACTGAATTTGTCAACAGATTTCTAAAATGAAATGTAAATGGAATTTACCACTGTTTTAGGCTAATAATAAAATGTCAAAATTTGAATTCTTAATAGCAGAACCTCTTAACGGCATTAAAAACAGTATAGTTACCGTTTCAGAATATTGTTTTACTAATTGTTCCAACCGAGGTCTCAGATGTTTGATTTTTTTATTGTATATATATATATATATATTTTTTTTATATAAATCTCTAACAGCTAGCATTGTGCCAAACGGGTACAGAGAAATTTAACCTCTCAAAACCCACCGGGTCGCCAGCAATAATGCGTTTACAACTAATAACTCAGAATGCATGAAAATTACACCGGTAAAATGTTTACCAATATAGACATGTTAGACATCGTTGCAAAGCTTAGATTCTCCAGAATTCCACCACCAAGTACATTTTATGGACACAGCGAGCACCAAAGCACAATTAACAGATATTACAGCATGTCAAAATGTAAACATGACAAAGCAGCCATAACAAGCAAGCATGTCTTTATTACTGCTGTTCAAAAATACCTATCATTTTTTAGAATAAAAAAACTACTTTGAGTCATGTTTGAACTGATGCAGCCTGGGCTGTGTTTTACTCACCCAATTTTCATGTATTTTATGTATATATTCAATGTACCGAACATGTAACTTGGGCTTACAGTTCCTAAGTTATTTGCTTTTCCATTTAGGTATGCAAAATAGGCGAGAATTTCCCAAAATGATTTGGATGTTAAGAGGGTAAACTGTAACTGGCTGATTTTCTGTTTGACCTGCAGTACGAACTAAACATATCCTGATCCGATATTAATGTCAGTCCGATATTGGCCAAAAAAATAATATTGGCCTGCATTTAAAATCTCTGATATTGTCTTTCTTATATAAACACTCTGCTTCTGTTTAAAGCTACAGTGTGTAATAATTACAGGGATATACAGTCAGAAATGTA